ATGTTATTGCTGCCCAATGGTATAGCCCCTCTGTTCCCACTTCGGGCACTTAGTGCTGAAAATACCATGAATATATATATTCATCATGGAAATTACTATTTTTGCATAAAATTGAATAAAAATTAATATTTTGCATTTCAGCTACTTGTTCTCAATCACACCAAATCTCTTGATTGAGAATGCTTTGTCTTCTGCTCTCGTGTACTTTGTCCCAGATTTTGTGATCTTATCCAGAAGGCACAAGTGTATCAGCAGTTCACAGGCCAAAATTTGGTCTTTCACATAGCTGGGGCTTGATCCATTAATTGATTTGAATATTTATGTATTTTCTTCAACATACTGCAAATGAAGTAGGAATAGAAGAAAGAATTTCTAGAATTTCAAGGTCATCTTTCTAAATTATTTCCAGTGCCCATTTGTTTCCAGAGATGATGCAAGAACTGAATAAATGTTTCAGCCATCCTCCAACAGGATAATGGTGGTTGAGCTACAGGAATCATTATTTTGACCTCCTAATATTAGGAGATGACACCATGGGTCATCCCTTTCGTTGAAGAAAGACTCTCTTGCATCTGCAGTAACCAAAAACTGTCTGAACACTGTAGAATTAAAATCTCTGAATTAGAATTGGCTAGAAGATTACTTAGAGGCATTAGGTATAAGTTTATTCAGCTCTGATGAATCCTGAACAGCTTACTCTAACGACTCCCCCCCCCCCCCGAAATGACAATCCTATCAAAGGAGGCCTGAATAAAATTAAATCAAGAGGAGAAACCTGTAATCATGGCTTTTAGCCACAGGTTCCTTCAGGCAATTGTGTTGCATAACTGGACCCTGGAAGAAAAATCTCATGTTGCAAAGTTCATCTTTTTAACAGGAGAGAGCAGACTAAATATTTTATAAGCTTTTTAGCCTCTCTATTCCTCTTGATTTTCTTTTTCCTAGTTTCCTAGTTTAACTATGTGTGTATTCAAACTCTAACAGTAAGAGCAGATGCTATGCCTGCCTTCAAGCCCATGCAAACAGATTGTGAACTTCTAAGGGAATTTTTGGCTTTCCTTTCTATGAAACCTTTGGAAATACTGGTTCCATCCATGGGAATTAGAAACCTTATTAATACCAAGAGGGAACAGCTTATTGTAAGGCTAGAGGACCAACAATTGTATTCGTCCAGCTCCGCCATCTCAGCCAGTTTACTTGTTTCACATGGATCTAAAGAAGACTGTCCAGAGATATAGGAATAGGATGTATTTCCTTCTTTCTCGAAAGGATTTTTGTGTAGTCTTTGCTTCCTACCCCTTTCCCATGAAGAAAGCTAAAACAAAGCCAAGAATTTAAAGACCTCTTCTCAGTTAAAGAGGAATGCTCCTTCAATTTACTTTTTAAATACTTGCATTTAGTTTGCATCTCTTATGAGGTGAGTGGAACATGGAAGGTAAGAAGGGTCCTTTGGTTCTTGTGCTTCGTACGCCTATGTAGATTATTTAAGGTGTGTAGTTATCCCTGGAGTCTCTTTAGAAGTCTGAATTAAGACAGGGCCCCAATAGAATATTATGCAAATGTGAAAATGTAACTTTATGCCAAGAGCACACATAACTGTTTTATGTTCTGCACAGCTCCACAAAAATACCGAAGCTCCCCAACCTACGCAAGCATTCCATTCCGAAACGCCTTGTGTAAGTCGAGTTTTGCGTAAGTCGGGAATGTATCTCCGACAATTATGCAAAAAAAAAAAGGAGGGGGGGGCACTTATGGAACTTTTTCCGTAAATCCGGATTTCCATAAGTCGGGTTTGCGCAACCCGGGGAGCGTCTGTAGCCTTTTCATGCCATCTTTCCACTCCTCAGCTCATCATCTAGCCCTTCTGCCATCCTTCTCCAGGTCTGTTTCCCATCCAGTTGTCTCTGCAGCTTTGTGGTTGGGTCTTACCTGACGGTTAAGCTAATTAGTAGGGCAAGTATTTTCCGGCAATGAAAACAGTAATATCAGATTTTCAAAGCTTTATATTTCAGATATGCATTATATTAATACAAAAAATACATGTATTGACAAACAAGCAATATGTAATCCTTTACTGCACAAAAATGCAGTAGCCTACATTAGTGTTTACAGACTATTTTTTAAACCGAAATTGTCATTTTTAGAACATAAAAAAATGTATTAAGTGATCATCACTATAAACACAAAACAAAATTCTTGCCATACAAGACTATACATTTAAAATAAAAGTTGGATTATTGTTTTATGCAACGATCTAACAACATCGGGAACTATGGAATAATTACATTTCTGCTTAAAGTAAAATAATGTTTTATTGAAAATATGTGCCCATCACCTATATCAGCATAAAAATATTCATTGAAACACACTTAGGACACATTAAAACTCATTTGGGCATACATCTTCATACTTGCCAATAACATACAGTAACGTTGCAGGGTTAGCACTTGTTCAAGTTTGAAGAAACTGCATTCAGCATCAACTGAGTTGCACAGGATCACCAAAACACCACAAGCAATCTGGCTAAGTCTTGGCAAACATTTGTCCATGCTTTTCCAAAAACTGGAGAGAGAAATGTCATTGGTACTAGGAAGTTCATTTACAATGTTCAAATAAACTCCCCACTCACCCTCAGGTACAGAACTCAGCAGCAGAACACTCAGTTCATAGTCACTGAAGTTGTGGGAGAGTACACGAATTTGCTTGGGATCAAGGATTCTCACATCGTGAAAAAAAAAAATCTATATGCTGGCTGTTTCTCTGTATTTACGTACCTCTGCAGTTTCTCTGCATAGTTTTGAAAAACTTGATGCTTGAGATTGTCTACTCTAGTACATTCTGTCCTGCGTACTGCAGTATTACCACCAAATCAAATGCAATGTTGTACACTTCCGTTGGTAATGTTGACCATGATTCAAATGTAAGTAGTGTCCGAACAAGTGGAGTTGCTTCTGCTTAGATAAAAATTGAATGTGCCACAAAATGATTCATTGAAATAAACATTTAGCTCCTCTAAAACGGCAGTCGTCCTCCACTTTGATTTCCCAACCAAAGAACCCCTTGTAATTCTCCACATGAGTACTCCACTTGATGGCAAAGATAGTCTATGGCTTTAAACCAAGTATTCCATCTTGTTACAACCCATTGCGGAGGTAATGTTGGGCTTTCAACTCCACAGTCGATAAGGTAGACTCTAAGTGGGCGTTTACATATCAGCTTTTTTATTAGAGCACACAGACGGTCCACTTCTGTAAACAAACAGAGCCAGCACTCGCCTAGTAAAGTTGTAACGTATGCCCAGCAGGTCCCATGAATGCAGCTGGTTAAAATGCCGCTTAAACTGTCTTTGAATGACTTTCACATGTATTTTGCATTATCTGTCACATAAACTAGTACATTTGAAAAGTCAATTTCATGTTATATAAGGGTCTTTATAACAGCTTGTGCAACTGCAGAGTAGCTAACACGTTCTAATTCCACTGTTTCTACAAGCTTAGCAGCAGCTGGGCAATCTTCTGAAACCTGCATCAGCTGTATTAGAATAATTTGCAACATAACCAGTTTACAATGTCTGTATATTCATCCACAGTTACAGTTACGTGCTGATCCTTCAACTCAGTGACCAGTTGTTGCTTGTTTAGTTCAAATACACGGGGAAGATTGACTTGTCTCGGTGTACTTGCTTGCAGGATACAGACCCCATTTCATAAGTGGTCGTTTAGGAATTCTCACATTTTGTCTGTTTTTTCTAGTGCAATGTTTGCGTTGCAACAGCCCTCCACCCAGTATTCCTGATTTTCATTTTGTTGTGCAAGCACACCAGTAGTTGTGAGCTGTTGCTTTACTGTCGTCTCATCGCTGCTCTCTAGCCTTTGCTTTCCTTTTCCCCATTGCTGCAATATGACATGGACCTTTAATGTGGTTGAGTATGTGGCCCTTTTTAACACGGTCAAGAACTTTGCTGCAAATTGTACAAAATAACTTCCCTCCATCCACATGGAGCACATCTTTGCCGAATGCTTTAACTATCCTCAGGCTTAACCATTTTAGGCATTGGTAGTAAATGGCTTGAACAGCTGAAGCACAAAGTGGAAAAATCAGAAGAAATCGGCGATTCCGGAAATGAAAGGTAATTTCAGAAGATAAAAGCAGCAATATCAACAATTTCCAGAAAACACCGGCCCTACTAATTAGAAAGGACTTTTTTTTCCCCCTGAGGAGTGAGGGATGGTGGTTCTTGAAAGGTTTTTAAGTAAATTACGTAGAGATGGCAAAGTTGTTATCAAGCCATCCATATGTGAAGAACCATTGGTTTACATCTGGTTTTATAACAAGTCCTACAATCGAGTCTAACAGAGAAATGTGTGTGTGAACCCTCTGGCTGATTATACTGTGACATGTTAGATCTTTATTTTGAAGCAGTCTACAGAGATCTAGAATCGGGCTAATTAAGATGAGGGTCCACATAGGTGCCAGGCTCAGGGTCCTACTTTGTAACTATGTAACCACATGCCAAAGGTAAATAGCAAGAGACTATTGCTTTCTCTTTCCAAACTTAGAGAAAACCGCAAGCACTGACTCAATATATAGGGGGATTCAGTCCTCCCTAGAGATTTCTATTTAGAAAAAAAAAATAGAATTGGTTATTAAAGTACATTGTGTTAAATTTCAATTTATTAAAAAAATCTGCTTTTTAAAAAACAAAATTACTTTTCTTTGAAAATACAGATTCTTCTCTATATTTTTGAACTTAAGACAAAATTAAATATTTGCTCTTTCCAAATCCTATTTGCACAGAAAACACTTAATGGCTCTTTTGCTCCCTTTTTCTGATGTTGATATTTGTGGCTCAGAAGGAAAATGTTGGTATCTCACTCCAAGGAAGCTTATTTAGTGTTTATCCCGAGTCATTTCTTTAAGGAAAAGTCCATCCTGCCTATCTGGGAGATCATAATTAAAAAAAAAATACATAGACCAGGAAAAAGACAGCTTGTGCTCACCTGAAGGCAATGTCCTATTATTGTGTTGGCCTGCCTGATGCACACTCTGCTGTAATAAATTCAAGCATTCTCCAAGGCAGCTCAGGGTGGCAGCAGAGGTAGCTTTTAAAAGCAGCAAGTCCTGATCCAAGGCAGAAAGAGGTCCAGAACCTGGCAAGGATTCAATGGCTTGCACAAGATTCTTCTGTTGTCCCTCCACTTGGCTCATGATCTGTAAGGGTTAAAAAAAGCCATGTGGTCATAAGGAAAGCCTTCATTTGCACCCTTACAAACTGACATGTCAACTGTCTTACTATAGATGAATGTTAACGTTCAGTTAGTC